TTTTTTACCCAACAAATAAAATGTTATAGACATCTATAGRAAAAAAAAACTAAAAAAATAGGAAACTTTTAATATGGGTTTTTTAATGCTTCTGTAATATATATAGAAAATGACATTTCTGGTAGTCTTATAATGAAGATATATTAAATAAATTTGCTATTTCAAATCACCGTTTGCAATTATAATTACAAATAAATAATTAATTAGCATTTGTATATTATTGTATTTAATTTAAAAAGTGTTTTGTTTTTACTGTTGAGTACCAAACTAATTTTTGTGTAATATATTATTGCCGTAAAAATTATAAAAATTAGTGAGGGGTGCGGGGGCGAAGTCCCTGTGGGTCTGTTTTGATTTWATAAATTTAGCCCCTCCAAATAATTTGTCCAAATTGCGCCTATGCCTAGTTGACTAGTTCAAATTCGAAAACGATGAAACCGGTAAGCTATTATAGCTAATAAATTATTTTAATAATTTACTAATAATTATTAATAAGCCATTAATATTAATGATTGGTCGTAATATTAATATTGATAATATATCATTTAGGTATCAACATTCAACGTTTCCTTCGTTACACAGCAGCTGATAAGAGTCCGTATTTTACTGTGTATGGCGTACTTTGTGATAATTTTAATTTATATAGGTAGGTACTTTATCGATATAATATTGTAGTGCATTCAGTATTCACTATTCAGCATTRCCGTGACAACTAGTAAATGTTCAAAATCTAATTTTCTCTTTTTGGTGAATACCTTTATTATATAATAAGAAAACATTTCTTTGTTCCAAATCAAGTTTAAAACGATGGTTGAAGCTAATGAAGGGGTAAAAGTCATTTATTAWATAATTATTAACAAATTTTCAAAATGTAATTTATGATAAATTTATATAAACACATTGCACGTATTTACCAATCATAAGGCAACAAAATGTATTTTAATAAAATTTAATGAAAATTATTGATTTTAATTTATTATAGTCATACCTAGTAAGAAAAATGTTTTGTTTAACTAGTAGGTTTTATATTCAAAGTGCTACCTGCAATAGTTATCAAATTTAGTATATTATTCATAAATATTTTTATTTTAGACCCTTTTTGTGGTGGATGAAGTAAGCGATATTATTAAGGATTCAATCGAACATTCAATCGGCAGTCAATTGTACCAACAAAATATGGTAAACAAATGGACAGATTCTGTAGTTGAAAATTGTCTAACAAGACTTTGTAAATTGGCCAAACCTTTTAAATATATAGGTAAAGAAGAAATTTTATAGATTTTTTTGTTTTAAATTATTTAATTCACAGCCTGCTATAGGTATTTTGTCACATGGTACGATATTAAAATATGTCCATATCTCTGGTAAAAGTATAGCTGGCGTTGGGTTGATTTATAACTATTGTAATACAACTTTTAAATTTAATCATAATTGTTTTTTTTTTTTTGGCAGTGACGTGTGCCATCATGCAAAAAAATGGTGCTGGTTTTCATGCAGCAAGTTCGTGTTATTGGGATAACTTGACAGATGGTAGTTGTACCGTTAGATGGGAAAACAAAACTATGTATGTCATTGTATCAGTTTTTGGCCTAGCCATATGAATAATCAAATTAAACTTTTGTACAAAAATACTTACATGTTTACACTATTGAATAAATAATTATATGTTTTGATTTTTAATACAACAGGTATGAAACAATAAAAATATTTTCATACTTTTAGTTTTGTCATATCATAATCAGTAAAATTATAATTGATTTTTTACAA